CAATAAAGGTCACTGTAATATCTCTCAGAGTTATTGCCTCAATCCCGATATACATGCTGAAAGGTACAACTTCCTTAAGTTTTGCCCATGAGTGTATATTGGTTATCTCGTGTGTCTCCAATAAAGGTCACTGTAATATCTTTCAGAGTTATTGTCTCAATCCCGATATACATGCGAAAAGGTACAATTTCCTTAAGTATTGTCCATGAGTGTATATTGGTTATCTCGTGTGTCCTCAATAAAGGTCACTGTAATATCTCTCAGAGTTATTGTCTCAATCCCGATATACATGCTGAAAGGTACAACTTCCTTAAGTTTTGTCCATGAGTGTATATTGGTTATCTCGTGTGTCTTCAATAAAGGTCACTGTAATATCTTTCAGAGCTATTGTCTCAATCCCGATATACATGCTGAAAGGTACAACTTCCTTAAGTGTTGTCCATGAGTGTATATTGGTTATCTTGTGTGTCTTCAATAAAGTTCACTGTAATATCTTTCAGAGTTATTGTCTCAATCCCGATATATATGCTAAAAGGTACAACTTCCTTAAGTGTTGTCCATGAGTGTATATTGGTTATCTCGTGTGTCTTCAATAAAGGTCACTGTAATATCTTTCAGAGTTATTGTCTCAATCCCGATATACATGCTAAAAGGTACAACTTCCTTAAGTGTTGTCCATGAGTGTATATTGGTTATCTCGTGTGTCTTCAATAAAGGTCACTGTAATATCTTTCAGAGTTATTGTCTCAATCCCGATATACATGCTAAAAGGTACAACTTCCTTAAGTGTTGTCCATGAGTGTATATTGGTTATCTCGTGTGTCTTCAATAAAGGTCACTGTAATATCTTTCAGTTATTGTCTCAATCCCGATATACATGCTAAAAGGTACAACTTCCTTAAGTGTTGTCCATGAGTGTATATTGGTTATCTCGTGTGTCTTCAATAAACTACAATTAGGTTTCGTGTTCATTCTAACTGATTAATCTACAAAAGGCAGCCATGTCTTTGTTGTGCATCATTTTATCAACAAGTAATATTACTACAAAGAGCACAGAATGTGTTAATCTCAAAGAAACTTCATTGTTTACGTCAGCCATTGATTCACAGCCACTTAAGTTAGGCCTAAATCGTTCCAGAGTAAACAGAATCGTGCGCAATATGGCCGCCAATATTTGCGCTGCATTGTAACACTGTCTGGTGCACCTAAAGTCTAACTACAGCCGGTATGTCCAGCATGTCATTGTTAGCAATAAATTTGTATAAACAAGAATCATCTAATATTGTGGGGGTTGGGGAAGGATCGTCTAAACCGTTGGTTTTCGACAGCTTCGACCCAAGTTCAATTCCCGCATTGGACACTTTTTTCTGATAAAAAAAAAAATACTCCAATGGTCCCCGATTCTTTTAAAACTCCAATCCCACCAGCGAGTGCAAGTAATCAAACGGGGCTCTGGCACATTTGTAAGTGTAGAGTCTAACTGCTTTTCACATGTGTAGATATGTGGTGTACTTGCAGTAAAAGCAGTCGCCTTCTTCTACCCACCATGATTCTCATGGCCTGTACCACGTGTACTAGGGATAAGCAATATATATATCTAATATTGTCGGAATATAATGATTTTAAAATTCTTTCAAATTATAGGTGTCAAATTATGGATATTTTTTAAAAAAATGTTACAAGCGTAATTTAGCTTGACTAAAAGTCAGTACACACACACAGTTTGGGCACTAGCTACTTTTTAATATTGTAGCATAGAAATTAGGTCTTTGTTAATCTGAAGGAGTGAAAGTATTTATTGATGACATCACCACGACTAGTTGACATTTATTAACAAAACAACCCAACTATCTACAGCTAGAGAATATCGAGCAAGCAAGCTAGGTAACTAAATGATGATTTTATAAATATTAAATCTGTTTCCAAATATTCTCATTGAATAATTAAATTGGCCACAATATTATAATCCCTCAGGTAAAATTATAAATAAAAGACAATTCGCTGAGGGAAGAGTTTATATATAACGGCAATATAATCTTTCAACAGCCCTTCAACAGGGAAACTACGCTACTAGAGAAAAATTTTAGTAACATAGTTATAACTGTGAAAAAATGAAAGAAAAAATAAAAGATAAAAAGATCAAGTGTTGAAATCAATATAAAAAATGGCATATCCTGGCATGTAAAGCACATGTGCTCCTGGGTCAGGATATGCCATTTTTAATATTGATTTCAACACCTGATCTTTTTATCTTTTATTTTTTCTTTCGTTTTTTCATGTGCTAAGCGTAGTTATGCAAGTTTGGCCTTAAATACCCATTTCTTGGTTTTTCAAGAAGCCTCTGGGACCAAAAAATCATTTTTGGTCGCAGTGGTACAGCCTGCTCCACGCTGACGAGCGCCAAAAAGTGCGAAACGCGTTCGTGGATGGGTTTTCTTCATTTATCAAGAATTTGGGTTGGCCAAATATCAGGGAACAGGCTAAATCAATATTTAGTTGATTTCTGTTACACCAGATGGCGCTCTGCCTTCTGTAAAGCACATGTGCTCCTGGTCAGGATATGCCATTTTTAACAGAGTTATAACTTACAAAACTATTTTAGACGCGTAATATTCTTTTTAAAATAAAACTATTTCTACTGCCCTTTCTGCAATGGAAAAATTAAAGGGAGGGCCTGGCTCATCAGTGGTGAACCCTCCCAGCGGTTTCGCTGGCGAAATTAAACTGGCGAAACCGCTGGGAGGGTTCACCACTGATGAGCCAGGTCCTCTCTTTAATTTTTCCATTGCAGTAAGGACAGTAGAAATAGTTTTATTTTAAAAAGAATATTACGCGTCTAAAATAGTTTTGTAATTTGATAACAGATGGTGCGCTAGTGCATCGTAATATAGTTATAACTGTGAAAAAATAGTACAAATGTGATATTGTACTGGGGATCTCACACAGCCTTAACTACCGCATCAATTATTAGGCCTTCTACATGCTTTAGGTCAAGCATTCTAAGGCAAAACTCATCATTGGGTGTCGCCAAACTACCCTTAACAGCCCTAACTACCCGTTTCATGATTTTTCAGGATACCTGAATGACCAGTTTTTTGGTTGTTGAGGTACAGCTTGTACCATACTGATGAAGGCCAACAGCCCGAAACGCGTCCGTGGTTAGCTTTTCTTGATTAATCAAGAATGGGTATTTGGCCAATTCTGGAATAATTAAAAATCAACGAGAATAGTTGATATTTATTCCGATAGAGGGTGCAAGCCATCAGCAACTTTCAGTTGCACGATAAGGAGATGCCTTTTTTATAGTTATACCTGTCAAAGAGCTGTTGAAAGCTTGTATTGCAGTTATATATAAAAAATAAACACTAGAAATTATCTCTTGAAGCAAGGTTGCTAGTGTATATGAGTGGCTTCTTTCACTTTTTTACACATAACCACAGCTATCTTTAACATTCCTCTAAAACAGGGGTCAGGAACCTTTTGAGTCAGAAGAGTCAAAAAAATTCCAATTTACAAATTCCGCCCTTGCCGGTCCCAAGCCTGGATGAAAAAGGAGGAGGGGAAGCAGTAACAAGCTCACTAAACAACCTGGGCTCAGCTGGCCATGCTGATAGTACCCTGTAAGGACTCCTAATCCAGGGATACAGGATGAGCAGCGTTTATACTCCATGTTAGGAGTTGCTGTGCACATGGTGTCTGTTCCTCATGTCAGAGGCGGCCATTTCTTTTGGAGCTAAGTCAGTGGCCTGCCACTGAGTATTGGTCCCAGTTTTAATGACAAAGGCAGACGCATTCTACTTCACCCAGTGGGGAGATAAGAAAGAAGAAGACAATTTACAAAATTTCTAAGTTTATAAAGAGCCACAGAATTTTTTTGGCTGAAATGGTGCTGTGAGCTATAGTTACAATAAGTTCCTGTATGTGTTGGTTTTTTTTTTGTAAATAGAGGTTGTAATATTGTTATTACAACAACAACAACAACAATAGCCTTTATTGGGCACACGTGCCATACAGGATTCTCTCTGTAGGACAAAATAAATAAATAACAAATTAGCATCGTAGTTATATACAAATATTGGGTATTGACCTCGACTAATTATCGAGTTGGATCCGGTGTCTGTGCTGAACATTTTGATTGAGCTGATTTCCAGTATTTATAAAAAGCTAATGCAAAGAGTTTGGATTTTACGACTTTTGCCATTAAAACATAAGGCGAATTGCTATTATAGCCGGTCTCTTGACGAAGAATTTCTCTTTCTTCTTCTATTGCCGTGCAGTAGAACATGTAGTGTGGAAAATCGAGACTAAAATCACCGTTGCATAAGGTGCATTTTATGGTCCTAGTTTTCAATAGTGAAACATGATTAATTCTCTGTACTACAAAAAGGCTTCTTACTTGTGCAATGATTCTCTTTAAGGTTAGGGGGATATTGTCATTCAGATAACGTTCCATTGTAGGTGATGAATGAAAGTGTAATATTGTTATTATTACAACCTCTATCTACAAAAAAAACCAACACACACAGGAACTATAGGTCACAGCACCATTTCAGCCAAAAAGTAGGATCAGTAAAAGCTCTTATATATAGAACTTTAGAGCCACAAAATGTTTTATCTGCCAATAATGAATAATACTCGCATACATAAATATTTTTGAAAATAGAGCAATCCATAAATAAATCTTTAAATAAAAAGGCATATATTGGATCAAAATATTTATTTTTTACCAATATTTCAGTTGGCTGAACGCCAACCTTTATCAAGGTGTTAAAACATATTTAATGTGTTATAAAACGAAAATTGCAATTATACCGCGAATGTTTCTTTTAAACGAAAAATCAAAATTTATTTTAAAGAGAAATAGCGATTATTTCTAACTTTAAGGATGAAGTATGATAGGATGAATTGTGAAGAGTAATGACAAATGGAAAAATAATCATAAGCCGCATAATATTGTATTTTAAATTACTTTATATAATATTTACGAACGGAAAAATATGTCCAGGGTAGCCTAGTGGACATGGCATCTGCCCGGTAAGCGGAACACGGTGGGTTCAATTCCCATCCCTGGACACTTTTATTTTTCCGTTTGTCATTACTCTTCACAATTCATCCTATCATACTTCATCCTTAAAGTTAGCTATTTCTCTTTAAAAATAAATTTTGATTTTTGTTTAAAAGAAACATTCGCGGTATAATTGCAATTTTCGTTTTATAATCATAAGCCGCGTTATATTGTATATTTAATGTGTGTTTTATTATTTTATTTTTTTTTTGCTTATCCCTAGTACACGTGGTACAGGCCATGATAATCATGGTGGGTAGAAGTTGGTGACTGCTTTTACTGTATGTTCACCACATGTCTATACATGTGAAAAGCAGTTGGACTTTGCACTTACAAATGTGCCAGAGCCCCGTTTGGTTACTTGCATTCGCTGGTGGGGTTGGACTTTTGCAATAATCGGGGGCCATTGAAGCATTCTTTTTTTAAACATAAAAAAGTGCCCAATGCGGGAATCGAACCCGGGTCGTAGCTGTCGAAAACCAATGGTTTAGACCAGGGGTGGCGAACGTGCGGCCTTTTCTTGCCCAAGTTGTGACCTTTTCTTAAATTTAAAACTATAATTTTTGTTTCGCAGTTTTCAATTACTTTCATTATTTTATTGAAAATATCTAATACGAATGTCATATATTATATAATATATATAATATTTATATATATATATAAATATGCGGCCTTCTCAAAAATGGTAAAACGAAAATTGGCCTTCTAATATAAAAAGGTTCACCACCCCTGGTTTAGACCATCCTTCCACAGACCCAACACATAAATGTGTGTTTTATAACATACTAGCCGAATGACCCGGGCAACGCCCGGGTTTTACCCGATTAAATGTTTTTATTCAAATACTATTCGTTACAATTATAAATTGGCGCCGTGGATGTCACTCTTGTGAAACGTCCCGCTCCAAACTTTGTGTCAGAGAAGCGATATTTTTATAAAGAGATGATCTGGCTTTGTGTCTTCTGCTCGAAAGAATGTTTTTCTGTTAGAATTTTGTTCCTGCACACTAAAAATGAACTGGCTTCACCCGTGGTTCTCAGCTTTTTGGAATTTTTCCGGATATAATTTTGTATCTGATAATCAAACATGATACAGCAATATTGTCATCATCATTTTCTGACTAAAAAAACAACTATTTTTGCCCAGAACCTGTCAATTTTATTTTTTATTGGCTAAAAATCCGATAAATATATTTTCCAGATTTTCTCTATGTCCTGTCAAAACACGTTTTACATGTACATTAGGTCAGCTGATATTACTTCCCATCTTCACCGCTAGAGGCGCTGCTTGCGAGCGAAAAGGCAAATTTGCAACGCAATTTGCAATTAACTCGAAGAATATTCGGGATAGAGACCTGAAATTTTCACTATAAGTTTTTCCAGATTCTACTCTATATACTGTTAAAATTTCAGCCAGATTAGTTACGTATTGTGGACGTGTATAGCCGACATAGATACCCACATACATACATACATACATACATACACTGACTTTTATATATATAGGGATTTATACATAATATAACACATTTTGATCCAATATATGCCTTTTCAATTAAATGCATAAATATATGTGTGTATGGAACTAAAGAGCCGTAGCTTCACATCCAAAATAGCTGTATGTAGCTCGTAGGTTGCACAACCCATGTTCAAGAAGACTTAGTGATTGGGAGCTGTGAGGAATATGGAACCTACCGAGTAGAGCTTGGAAGAGTCGACTTTTGAATATGCGGATGACCCTTTCAATGGCATTGCGGAGCTGCTTGTCTTGGGGGCTTGTAAGTCTATTGTGGTACTCTTCAAGGAGTTCTAGGGCCCGGTGAGCTTCTGAAACCAGTACAGATTATCCATGCGGAAAAACACTTTACATTTCAGCTTATATATAGAGATGTAGGATTGAATAAAAGGGTTCTTCTACAAAGAACAGTTTCCATCACCAATACGGTAGAACAACCTCCATGACAAGACACTCGTGCTAGAGGACACCTCTCTACAAAGGACAGTTTTCATTTGCAAAATTACCATTTTTACTTTTTAGTAGCTCTCCTGTAAGAGGACATCTCTCCTTAAAGTACACTTTGGCTCTGTAATTAGGTGTCCTTTACAGGGAGGTCTTACTGTAGCAAATCTCTGGTAAGAGGACACCTCTCCCTAAAGGACACTTTGGATCAGCAATTAGGTGTTGTCCTTTACAGGGAGGTCTTACTGTAGCAAATCTCTGGTAAGAGGACACCTCTCCCTAAAGAACACTTTGGATCAGCAATTAGGTGTCTTTTACAGAGAGGTTCTACTGTAGCAACTCTCTGGTAAGAGGACACCTCTCCCTAAAGGACACTTTGGATCAGCAATTAGGTGTCCTTTACAGGGAGGTAGTTCTACTGTAATACGTATAGAACATTCAAATTAATCTCTGGCATCTTTTTTTACAAGTGTTGACCAGCTGTCCCCATTGTGGAAGAAAGGAGCAGCAAGCTGTTAATTATGGATGTAGGTAGAGTGAGGTCAGAATGACCCCATTTGTTGCCAATGTACAGTAGACATGTGCATGGAGGTTTTAGCTTTTTAAAGTGATCCTAGAGGGGTCGGTGGAAGGCTGGTTAAACTGTTTGGTTTTCTACCGCTACGACCCGGGATTTAATCCCGCATTGGACACTTTTTTTCTGATTAAAAAAAAAAATGCTCCAATGGCCCCCGATTCTTGCAAAAGTCTAACCCCACCAGCGAGTGCAAGTAACCAAACGGGGCTCTGGCACATTTGTAAGTGCAAAGCCGAGCTGCTTTTCACATGTGTAGACATGTGGTGTACTTACAGTAAAAGCAGTCGCTAACTACCCACCATGATTATCATGGCCTGTACCACGTGTACAAGGGATAAGCAAAAAAAAAATTCTTTCATACCTCATCACAGTAAGAACAATACAGTACAACAACCTCCATGAGAGGACACCTCTCTACAAAGGACAGTTTCCATCACCAATACAGTAGAACTACCTCTCTGTAAAGGACAACACCTATTTACATAATCAAAGTGTCCTTTAAGGAGAGGTGTCCTCTTACTGGAGAGTTGCTAAATAGTAAAAATGGTAATTTTGCCAATGAAAACTGTCCCTTGTAGAGAGGTGTCCTCTAAAAGGAGGTTCTACTGTATTATTTGGGTAAGAGTTCTACTAAATGAGGAGGACAGCCTGTATGTCCAGTAGCTGTGGTGTCACAGGGAGTTTGATAAGTTCTACAAATAACAGATTTAGGTCAGGTCAATAGGCTGTGACAAGTTGGTTGAAGATCCTGTAATTTGGACCTTCTTAATGTGAAATTTTCTTTTTATTCTCACAAGTGGCCACCTCCAGTCATGTCTTAGCCTCTCAGGTACCCAACTTTGGTGGAAACTTCTAGCTTTTGTCTTGGAGATGATAAGTTTCACTAGAGAGATGTGGATTGTTAGATTGGAAAACAACTTCACAGATTAATCATAACTCCGCCTTTGCCGGTCCCAAGCCCGGATGACAAAGGAGGAGGGGGAGCAGTAACAAGCTCACTAAACAACCTGGGCTCAGCTGGCCATGCTGATAGTACCCTGTAAGGTCTCCAGGGATACAGGATATACTCCATGTTAGGAGCGGCTGTACATGGTGTCTGTTCCTCATGTCAGACATTTCATATTGGAGCTATGTCAGTGGTGTGTTACTGAGTAGTGCTCCCAGTCTTAATGACAAAGGCAGATCCATTCTACTTCACCCAATCATTATGGAGCTCTACAAGCCGGATACCCTAATATGATTGAGTGGAGATAAGAAAGAAGTTGATCAGATAAATATACAGTAGAACAACCTCCATGAGAGGATACTTCCGCTAGAGGACACCTCTCTACATAGGACAGTTTCCATTTGTAAAATACCATTTTTACTATTTAGCAACTCTCCAGTAAGAGAACACCTCTCCCTAAAGGACATTTTGGCTCAGTAATTAGCTGTCCTTTACAGAGAGGTACTGTACTGGAATGTTAATATAATGTAATCTGTTATAAGAAATTTCAACTATTTTTGACTCTTGGGATTATTTTCAAAAATAAATCTACTGCCCTTACTGCAATGATAAAATAATAAGGAGGGTTCACCATTGATGAGCCAGGCCCTCCCATTAATTTATCATGGGCAGTAAGGGCAGTAGATTTATTTTTGAAAATAATCATATGAGTCAAAAATAGTTGAAAAATTTTATACTGGTGGAATGTAAGAAAAAAATATGAAATGTTTCTGATTTTGGTATCAAAATGGGACTCAATAAAAAAAAAATAACAAAAGCTTGTTTTTATAATAAAAAATTTTTCTTGACTTGTAAAAATCATGCATTTAAAGAACTTGGGAAATATATACAAGAAAAAAAGACCTAATACAAATAAATAAATAGTTGACGTTTTGGTAACTGTATTGATACCATCTTCAGACAAAAGAATGAATGTGAAAAAAAAAAATCACAGCATGTTCTTAAATAGGGGTTCGATGGAAGGGTGGTCTAAACTGTTGGTTGTCAACTGCATACTACCCGGGATCGAAACCCGCATTGGGTTTTTTTTTTTTCTGATCGAAAAGAAAAAAAAATGCTCCAATGGCTCCCAATTCTTGCAAAAGTTCAACCCCACCAGCGAGTACAAGTAACCAAACGGGGCTCTGGCATATTTGTAAGCGTAAAAGTCAAACATGTGGTGCACTTACAGTTAAAGCAGTCACCAACCATGATTATCATGGCCTGTACTAGGGATAATAAACTGTTATCAAGTATGTAAACAAGATATCAGATAAGGACAAAAAAAGTTTTTCAAGACAACCTAAAATATGATTCCTAGAATTAGAAGTGGAATTATTTTTTTTTTTATATATATAATGAAAGGTCTTATAACCTTTCATCTTTCACTATTTATATCAGGTCTTATTTTCTTGTAGCTATAATCCAAATTTTTGTTTATCAACATAAGAAATATTATAAGACATGAGTGTTTCTTTCACAGATAA